TTCTCTGGACAGTTACCTGCTTTATTCACACTTTGTACTAGGGGAGCTGGCAGGTAAAGTCAGTTTAGTGTCCAATGCAACTGATTTGGACATTTGCATTTTCACATACAGAGCCTCTGGGAATTGTCTAGATAATATCAAGTTTGTGATGCATGTGTGAAAGAGGCCTTAGAGACTATTTTTAGAGGAGTACAGAGGACTGATAGAGAGCTTCATCACATGATGCAACAACAACCACATGAGGCTTAATATCAGCAAAACAAATGAGCTTGTGTTGGACTACCAGAGGAACAGGACAGAACACAAAGTTGTAGCCATGACAGTAGACAAATCTTTAAATATGGAAGCTACAAATTCTAAAACACAGATGCTTCACACACATGCTCAACCAGGCAGTACAGTCGATCCATACAATCATCAGTTTCCAGTCAGGCACCCAAGATTAGTGTCATTTATTCAGTATCTGACCAAATGTCTCCCCTTGTGTTCCTGAGTTATGATGTTGAGTAATGGCCAGAAAAGTGTTTTTGCAGAACACTAGAATGTCACATTGAAGTTGGCCTTTTGGATATAAAACATCACCACTTCATCAGTTCATCCAATTAGACATTTGTGTGAAATTCTGTCATAATTAGCTTATGAATTCTTGAGTTATTGCCCATTAATTCCAATCAGTTCATCCTTGAGTCCAAGTGGATGTTTGTGCCAAATTAAAGGAATTACCACCAGGCCTTCCTGAGATGTTGCTTTTAAAAGAATGGGTGACCAGGCAGACAGACAACCCGAAACATAACGCCTAAGGCCACGGCTGTTGTTGACACCAAGGTGTAAAAAATGGACTGTAATGCACTGAAGATCTGGGGCCGTATTCACAAACATTGTGAGAATATTCTCATAAAAGTTCCTAACTTAGCCTTAAAAAAAACTGCAAGGAGTCTTAGCTTAGGAATGATTTAGGAAAGTTTTCACAGCAACTCTGAGCAAGGAAGGGACAGAAACTTTTATCTTAGTGAGCACGTGTGGTTGAGCCCCTTGCTAGGTATGACAAATTCTTTAACAGATGTGATTGGTTGTCAGAGACACACCCTTTTGTGAGGCTGCAAGGTGTTGACACCCAGTGAAAATAAAATGAACTGCTGACTGTAAAAGTGTTGTCATTTTTAGCGTGATCACTCTGGTGATGGAGGGTTTAGACAGACACAAGTGATCACTTCTGCACTGTTGTAATTTTTCCAGTTTTTCAAATTTCTTAGGGTTGTGATAAGTTTATTTCTGGAGCTATAGCGTTATTGCGTTGGGTGGGAAATGTGTGCATACCCCTAATGAGATTGACCACAAATATTATCCCTGCACGATCTAATATGTAGCATTTAATTTACTCACCAACATCCAGCGTTTGGGGAAAATTTCTCCAATCTCTTTGTCTTTCCACCATTTTATCCTCTTCTAAATAAACTCTTAAGCCTCTTAAAAGAGTTTACACCTTGGGACTTCTTTTAAGGCCTAAGATGCTTTGTGAATAACTTTATCTTTACAAGGACCTAGTATTACCTTTAAGAGGAAATTCTTAGACGATTTCTTAGAATTTCGTCACTAGGAGCAACTCTTAGCATTAGGAAGCTTTGTGACTACGGCCCCTGAGCTTAAGTCAGTCACAGATACACTTGGCCACCTAGAGAGACAATGACTCTCCTGTACTGGCCTCTCTTCCCTGGTTACCAGTGAAATACAGAATTGATTTTAAGATTCTTTCATTTGTTTTTAAAGCAGTGCATGGACTGGCACCAGGTTACATCTCTGAACTGCTCGTCCCTTATCCCACCTCCTGACCCCTCAGATCTGGTGACCAATCACTGCTCTCCAACCCATGCACCCGGTTAAAAAACAAAAGTGAACAAGCATTTTGAGTGGTTGGCTTTAACTTGTGGAATAGTTCGTCACTAACAATTAGATCTTCCCCCTCCATTCATATTTCCAAAGTAATATTATGCAAGATTGTCAGTTACTGTTTGTAAACATGCTGGCCAGCCAAAATGAAAGTAAACGCCAACCCCAGATTCACTTTTGCTTGGCATCTTGCCACACTATATTTGCGCTTTTTCTGCATTATGTCTTTTGGATGTCTGCTGCTTATGGTCTGGCACACATTCGCTACCTTTATATAAAGCCTCTGCCTCACCTGAGCGCTGTAGGGGAACACGCCCTAAAACGTCCTTTAATGTCCTGAACACAGAAAATAAGAAAAAAAATACAGACAGAGGGAAGAGTCTCCACAGAAAAATGCACCACCACACAGTGAGTCTACAAATAGTTTTTTGGGAAAACCTTGCATAACTTTGCATCAACATGATGACATGCCTGACCATGACGACACACTAGTTTTATTCGCTTGCATTTTATTTTGTTGTTTGTCCAATGCTATCTTGTGTTAGAATTTTATCAAGATATTATATACTTTAATTAGTTTACTTAAATTCTCTAATTTATGACCGTTTTCATTGGATCATTCCGGTTCTTTTTTATTCAGTCTCTTTGAAAACCACTTTAGTCAACGCTTGTTTTTGCTCCATAAATAAACTTGACTTGACTTAAACAATGAATCCAGTCAACATAACTGCAGGCATGGAAATAGATTTCAACGTATGACCTCACTGGGTAAATGCATCTGAATCTAAATCCATGGGCATTTCAATTTGACTCCAGCGCCCCCTTCCCAGAGCAGACAAATCGATACTCTAACAAAACACTTATTATCCTGAGAAACAAAAATCCACTGTCACGGCCATCCACATGCACCATATTGACAAATAAGACAAGAGCAACCAAGACTGTGTCACAGCTTTTAGTTGTAGCGTACAAATAAAATCATAGCATGTCTCGTGAACTGTAAATGTACTGGATTTGCCTACTCAACATCTATTGTTATGCGCTAATGTCTATTGTGTTGTTCATACACTTTTACCATTACAAACTACACTTCATTTGCTTTAGTAAAAGTTGAGACTATTTCATTACAAATAAACTTTCCTGTTGTTTCTAACTTGTCATGTTTTTTCTGCTCTATAATTAAAGTCCTGTCACACTTACAGCCTTTTATCACTCCAAATGAAGCAGTGCATAGTTCTCTAGAGCAGTTTGGTTTCACACTCTCCATTTTTGGACGGAGTTTTGGTAACTTGCCATTCAGTCAATATTTATGCATCAAACTACTTTGGCAATGACTGGGGAATGCTCAAACACGCCTTTGGTGTTTATGCCAACAACACCCAAGTACTTGCACCCTTAGAAGTGCTTGAAAAACACCATTAGGAGCAGTCACTTCATTGTTATTGAGCACTGGCACCCAGGGAGGTAGAGAATTGCTTTTGACATTTTACTGATTTAAACAGCCTGCACCCTGTTGTTTATTTACCATCAACTAAATATAAGTTTTCACTGAATTAAGGGAACTTTTTTATCTCTTACTATTTATTTAATTCCCTTTTTTGAAATGGCAATTAAAACAGATTCTTAATTTTCTGTAATTACCCTTTTGATTGCCTTAAAAGAACAATTAAATCTACATTATTATTATTTACTTTTATCGGTCTGACGCATGAGAGTGATCAATTAAGCAAGACATTAAAAGTAACACCCTAATCTACTATAATTCATCAGGTCACACGCTCACAGACACCCAACCACACAGTTGCCGCTGTTTTTAAGCTTTGGGTCTGATGCAAATCCCTGCAAATCCCTCTGGCTCATGTTTATGTATGACACATAATGCCTGGCAGCAAACGTCCTCCATAAATCAGAAGCCACTCTGAGTATTCTCATGAATTTTACAGTGCAATCAATGTTGAATCTATCAACAGCAGCTTTCTTTCAAAGCAAGAGAACCTAAGAAACTGGAACAACTAAGGACAGTTAAATCGGTTATGTCATGTGCCACTAGCATGAGTTAAGTAGGGCTGCACCCCAGTCGGAAATGTGTCTGCTGGATCAGATTTGGCTGTACAGTACAAACATTCTATTTGTTTCCCTTTTTATATGGTGTTTGAACAGAAATCAGCTAGATGTTAAAGGTGATGGTGATGTAGCAATGCGTAAACCACAGATTTCGAAATGTGCAACATTTTTTACCATCACCAGATATCAAACAAACGCCAGAGACGATATTATATTAAGTTACTGTGAGCTGCAAATTCATCACTTCTAAGCAGAAGGCAGATAACGTTATCTCAGAGCCTGACCAGACAAAGCCTCTCTTTCTCTGTGCCAGAAAGAAGCATGAAGGCAAGAACAAAAGTTCACCGCACACTGACTGACCCACACACACACACAAAAAAACATGGAGATTATCAGTCGACTGAGGGATCTCTGACTGATGATTTGACTCTTTGACTTTCAGGGGGCTGCTCTAGAGTAAAATCCCTGTGAGCATTGTTTTCTCTATTAGCAGACAATGGGACAGCTTCAGGAGATCTTTTACTATATCTGGTTTCTGCTTGATTTAACAACTCAATCAGATCAATGTAAATAAGACTCCTCTATCTTCCAAGGCACAGCTAATTCTTATATTTAACATATTGCAAAGAAAGCTACCCAAACTCTAACCTCTATCTTGAGTCAAATATACTCTAGCTTTTTATATTTTATCCCTTGTTACTTGGAGATGGTGTCCTCACTCTTAATCAACAGCTTTTTATTACAAGCAGGCACTCTTCCCCTCAAATCCAATTTCTTACATGTGTGTAAAGCCTTATTTTGCAGCACTGTTTAACACCACTCTGCAAGTACCTGCGATAAGCCTCTTAGATCGTATCATGTCTAGGATATTGACTTTTTGTTTAGCTCACAAACCACACTGCCCTGTAGACCGCCAGAGGAATCACATACACTGTTAAATCTATTTCAGTTTGAACCCTCAAGCCCCCTTCAAACACGTTTCAGATGACATTATCCAGCACAAAAGAAACACAGCAACAAGAGCCGGAACAGCCGAGTTGGCGACTGACCTGCATCGCTCTGGCTGAAGACAGCCATGGTCTGTCCACCCACTGTGTGCATAGTGAAGGGGTGATCCTTTGGGACCTGCAGTGATGCATCCTTCTCCCCCACAGCGCCCAGGGCCGTCAGCTCCTCGTTCAGGCTGAAACGTACCTGAGAATACACAGCTGAGTCAAGGCCCTGCTGAGGAGTCGTATTAGCAACTCTTTGATTCATCAGATAAGGTCAATATGATATATGAAACTGTATTGATCGACATGAAGAAGGTGGGTCAATGCAGCAGCAAATGGGGATGATATACGAGAAGAAAAAAGGAAAAAAATATGTCACATAAGCTGTGAATCACTAAGCTGCCTGTACAGCAGGAATGTCAAACTCGTTTTGATTCATGGGCTACACACAGCCCAATTTAATCTCAGATGGGCTGGACCAATAATACCATCGCACCATAACCTATAAGTACCACCAGCTCCAATATTTTCCCTTTTTTGTGTATAGAAGTACAAGTACATTCTGTAGACGTTCATCCTTTTACAAAATGGACGATGCAATTTTAACAGTCAGTCTACTTCTCACTGTCATTACCTGTGCACTTATCCAGATATGTCCTGATACAGATTCTTTTGAACTGAAGCTGCTGATTGACAACATTTTGCTCAATGTTCAGTGTCTTTAAACATATTCAAAGTAAGTATTCATTATTATATCAGAGAACTGTATTCTGGTCAGGATGGAAAAGCGTCTGACACAGAATTTTAGTAGGTAGTAGGTAACGTATTGTCTAACTTGCTCCTGAAACCTGGCACCTTTAGGGTGCCTTCAGACCTAGCATTGTCTTGCTTTGGTCTGAAACAGGGACTAATTTTGTTACAAAGTTGCATAATTGCCTAGAGTTGGTTCATGTTCTCACGGCAGCATTTAGAAGCAGCCTTGCAGAAGAAAGCTGCTCTTGATTGGTCAGAATTTCCATGTGGGAAAAATCCAGGAAGTGCACAAAACGTTGAAGAAGAGTAGACTTGCAAGATAAATGCAAACCTTTCTAATGTCACAATGTGGACAACTACACAGGTTGATTTTAGCAGGTTGGCTCCAACTAGAAAACAATGTTTTGATGCATTGGATGTGCTGAATGTGCATATTAAAGGGAAATTTCAGTTTATTTCAACCTGTCTCCAATCGTCCTAAATTTGTTTCAAGTGACTAGTGACATAAAAATAATAGTTAGCATGTTAGCCATTAGCCTAGATACAGCCGGGGCGCATGGTAGCGTCAGACCTGTTAAAACGTAAGAGAACAGGCATACTTCAAGTGCAAAGTTAGTCCACTAAACAAGCATTTTTCCATAAAGACCGCCTCATATCATTAGGATAAATGTCAGAGAACATATAGAAAACGACATGTAAACGTGTTGCCTTACCTTACCGGTGTGCTGCCATGTTTGTTTACATTTAGCTCTGCTTTCCAAAGTGCGGCCGAAATATGGCGAGCTCTAGATAAAGCCCAGCTGGATACTCCTCCAGGTGGAGGTGTCTCGTCCTCGGTCACATCCAGACCTTGAAAATAAGGCTGCAACCGGTCCCATTCCTTGCAACAGAGGCATTCCTCTTCTGTGGGCACTGGGGCACAGCATTCACAGGTACACCACCAATCTCCAGACCTATGCAGCCTTGCAGCAGCCATTCCTCCTCTCTCGTCCTCTACCTGTTGCACCTCTCTCTCTCTCTCTCCTCCTCTGTTCTTCAATTTCAGGAAGCTCTTCGTCAGTGTATTCTGGCTCAAATAAATTGTTCACCATTTACCTCTGCTTCCCAAAGCACGGCCGAAATATCGCGACAACAAGCAGCGATCTCATACTGTGCCTGAAATCTCGCGAGGACAAGCAGCAACAGCTGGAAGGCAGAACCGGACAGTAGCCTGAAAAGTTCATTCATTTATTTTTATTTATTTTATTTTTTTTTTTTTAAGATATCTTTTTTGGGCATTTTGCCTTTAATGGACAGGACAGGTAAGCGTGAAAGGGGGAGAGAGAGAAGGGGGGATGACATGCAGCAAAGGGCCACAGGCTGGATTCGAACCCAGGCCGCTGCGGCAACAGCCTTGTATATGGGGCGCCTGCTCTACCACTAAGCCACCGACGCCCCATATTCATTTATTTTATGAAAGATTTATAGAATAATGGCTGACTTTTGCCAGACTTCGACTTTGTGGAGGAGGAATTTGATTTTGCAGAGTTTGATGGCCGTCCTTATTTATGTGAGCCAGAATACACTGACGAAGAGCTTCGTGAAATTGAAGAACGGAGGAGGAGAGAGAGAGAGGCGCAACAGGTAGAGGACGAGAGAGGAGGAATGGCTGCTGCAAGGCTGCGTAGCTCTGGAGATTGGTGGTGTACCTGTGAATGCTGTGCCCCAGTGCCCACAGAAGAGGAATGCCTCTGTTGCAAGGAATGGGACCGGTTGTAGCCTTATTTTCAAGGTCTGGATGTGACCGAGAACGAGACACCTCCACCTGGAGTAGTATCCAGCTGGGCTTTATCTAGAGCTCGCCATATTTCGGCCGAGCTTTGGAAAGCAGAGCTAAATGTAAACAAACATGGCAGCACACTGGTAAGGTAAGGCAACACGTTTACATGTCGTTTTCTATATGTTCTCTGACATTTATCCTAACGTTATGAGGCAGTCTTTGTGGATAAAAAGCTTGTTTAGTGGACTAACTTTGCACTTGAAGTATGCCCGTTCACTTACGTTTTAACAGATCTGACGCTACTATGTGCCCCGGCTGTATCTAGGCTAACGGCTAACATTTTAACTATTATTTTTATGTCACTAGTCACTTGAAATAAATTTAGGACGATAGGAGACAGGTTGAAATAAACTGAAATTTCCCTGGCAGTACAGGAGAGGTGCACATTAATAATCCCCTGGGACTGTAACATGCTCATGTTTAACCCAAACAACTGCAGTAGGTTCTGATTGCACCTGCACCAGAGTTCATTTGTAACCGGGCCGAGACCACCTCTTCAAGAAGGTTTCTGTCCAGTTGTGTATGTGTTCACACTTGCCCCAACAAATTGCACTTAGGGGGCAAACGAATTTGAGTTTGACTGAACCAAACCAAACAGGGCAGGTGTGAAAGCACCCTTTGTCTAGTCATCTAGTGGGCCGAATTGGACCCTATGGCAGCCAGTTCTTGCCCACAGGCCTAATGCTTGACACCCCTGCTGTACTGTATCATATGAAGCTGTCTCACCTCTGTTTTGCCTTGCTTCCTGTCAGGTGGATGACAAGACAGAAAAAAGTGCGCATCATTAATACTAATAATAACAACAATAATAATAATAATGAGAACAGGATTTTAGCATTACAAAATACATGTATGTAAGAAATAAACATTTCCACAACATACTTTCCAATGGTAATCCTTCCAACTTCTCCTTTTTCTTGGGCCTTCTCCCACTGCTGAGATAAATACTTGGGAACCTGATGAGAAAATTTAAGAGGTCACATTAAAATGGCTGATAGAGATTTACACCCACAACACTCTCACATGAAGTATATTGTTCAGCGGCGGCCATTTAATTAGTCAAACTGACGTTAGCAAAATGAGCTAACAACCGTTAACGTTACTTTCCGTTGGTTATTGGACGGATGAGAAGGTGCGCGTGAACAAACCTTTACCAGCCACACGCCTTTACTTTGTTGGACTCCGGTCAGATTCACCTCCGTCTTGTCCGACATACTTAAGTTAAATTTTGTCAGGGTTTCAAAACACTGTAAAAATAAGGTGGACAAGAACTAGTAAGTTACGCGTAAACGCCTCAATATAGCCAGGTGTGCCCAATTAAGTGGAATTACTACAAAACAAAACTTCCTGTTAGGCGACTTCTTTCACAATAAAAGTCCGAACCACAACGACACTGATAAAGATACCAATCTAATAGCAGCGACCTTTTATAATGTGAAATGGTCAGAATTTGATTTATACCTTATGTTATCTCTTTCTTCATTTCATTTTTCCTCTGGTTGAGTATTGTTAAAATGGGATACTTTCTGAAAATCTGCATTCTGAAACAATTTCCTGAATAATTTCAATGCTTTAGCTGTCAACTTAATACAGTTATACAAACATTAACCCCCTGATTATGATATACAGAAGAAAAAATAAAGAATAATCAAATAGGGAATCGATGACTCCATCCATAATTCCAGTGTCACATTTTGACAATAACAGGGCATCCATTTTTAACACTAGGCTATTGGCAAAATTGGACACCAATAAAATTGCTATTTTTTTAAAATAAATTAAAGTAGTATAGAATATTCATGATATTCATAATCATTCATAGTGATTTTAATAAACAATTAAATCCCATTACAAAATATATTGGAATGAAACAGTAAGTAGTGTTTGTTTTTAGATTTTTACAAGTGGAACCATTATTATGTCAGAACCCTTTTTTCAGTTTCTCACAGATCCAACTTTGCCTTTTTTAACTTGTTCACTTAATACGTAAGTATGTCTGTGCATTTGTAATAATACACTGTTATTATTATATTGGAATTTTCACTGTCTTAAATTGTAATTGTGCTTTAGCCACACATAAGAAATGTCATGTCAATAAAGCTTACTGAATTGAAATTGAATTGATGGAAGTGACATTGCACATAATGCCACGCCCACCTATTTAACATCATATCCATATGAGCTGTTTTAGTTTTCTTTAGGTGCCTTTTCAGCAATACATAAGCATTGGTTTGGGGTTATTTTGTGTATTTCTTGTAAAGTTATTCAGTGCCAAGTTTAACTACCGCAATTTGCCAGGTGTCCCAATTCAAAAATACTCACCCACTCACCATACTTCAAACATTCTTCTTCCTCCACACTATTAGCTTCTGCAAAATGATGTAGGTCTACATGTTTTGCTTTGGTTTGTTTTATTTCATGTATATGGATGGAAAGTTACCCAGACTCTTTTATGTAGCTTGTATATGCTTTCCCAGTGTTTATATAAATCATGAAATTACAAATGCTCAAGGACCACCAAGATATGGTGAATTCTTGCAACATCTGATCTAGCTCACGTGGAATAATTTGCAACTCAGAAAAGCTTGATTAATTTACATGAAGTGATTGACCTGTAACTTCATTTATCAGTTAACTGTAGGACGAAACGATCAGGGGAAAAAGGTGCATAATGACAGGTCAAAGACAAATATCTCAGGTGTGTGTGGTTTTAAGAGCTGCAGGCAATCTATCAAAATTACATGATATCCCACCAGTGAGACAATCACACATGTGTATGGAGATGTAATCAGCTGCATCAGTTGTGATGTAATGTAATCAGGTTGAACATTTTTAACAGGGACGCTCAAGTTGCTTTTCTTGAGGGGCCAATTTTGTAAGATGGCAGGAGGCAAACAAAACATTAATGGTATTAATCAGTGTGTTCAGTAAATTAATTTCGTGTCCTCAACTTTTCAACATGTGCTGTCCTCCGTCATCTTTGCCAAGAGGTGAATTCAGCCCTGCACAGGTCAGGTACACACAGGGGTGTTTCTAAAGCGGCACTTGTTTTTGGATAAACAAGCTCTATTTTGAGCTTGAGTTTTTAATGCACTCTGGCACCTTATTTCATTCGAAGTACAAAAAAAATCGCAGTATGAGTTAATTTATTTCACTGTAAAGTAGTATGATGTCAGCAGGCAGCCCCGCACTGTACAGTGGGCCAGATTTGGCAGTGACTTTGAGAATATGCAGCACTAAGCACAATATCAACTGACATAATGGAAATAATAATGCTACGGTGTTGTTGCTCCACCTGGAGCAGCTGCTGGCCTCTAACAAAACATCTTAATCATAATTAGGATTAAAGGGCTACGTACCGAGGTCATACTGCCACAGGAGCTCAACACAACTTCTCACCCCTGAGGTCCAGACCTCTGAATCACCACCCACATCTCAGAATTATTCAGCAAAGTCAAACTCAATTGTGATTCACTTTGATCATCGGGCCACTAAAGTCCAGGGTCGAGCACAGCAATGAATGCATAACTGGTCCACGCTGTAGGTGGCTCTCTAGATGGACTGTAGCCCACAAGTTCATGTAGTCATTGACATTTAACACACCAAACTAAGTGCTTAAAAGAGGAAACCAATCACATCTCTCTCTGTCAGGGCCTGCAAATAAAAGACTTTTTCTAATTGTTGAGCTTTTATATTGAAATCCCCTGCATTTTATTATATACTAATTAAAAGATAAAATACAATACTGGAATTACAGATAGAAATGTCTTTACGTCTTTAAAAAATTAAATGACTAAGCGGGCAGAGCACATATAAAAGAGGATCTTTAAACAGGGTGCTTACACACTTGTCAAAATGATTTACCACACAATGGATCTGGACTGAGGCAACATACGACGACATGATTTAGTGGCATAAACAGTTACTGGCAATGATAAAATGTTGGTGAAAAAACATTTAATACTCTTTTGTTGGTGCACAACAATACTAAAATGTAACGTTTAGATGTATTAGAATAGAATAGCCTTTATTGTCATTGTGTGTACAACAAAATTAAGGTGCCACTCCAGTCAGTGCAACAAGAAACAACAATAGCAAAAACAAAAATAGCAATAAAATATATATCAATAAAAATATAATAGAAAAAATATGTACAAGAGAAAAATAATGCACTTGTCACCTGTTTTCTCAAATTTGTTCTCTATAAAAAAATATATCAATCTATTTGCATCTATACACCACTGCCCATTGTCATTTATCATTATCTAAAAAGTATATTTGAATGCATATGTATGTTAATGAAAAGCCTTTAAACCATTGTCTCCTGGTGTGGTTTATAACAGAGAATGGTAGCATCACCATGTGGATCAACAGACAACTTGCAATCTTTTACAGTGATACTGTCCAGGTGGTCCTGCAGTCTCCCCACTAACATGATAAAGATTATCTTTCTGATACTATGATGCGTGAATCTCATTTTGAGTAATACATTTTTCCTCTTTTATTTCAAATAAACATGTCTCATAACCTCTATCTCCACTTCTGCTACTTCATTGTTTGCTCCATTATGGTGAAAAGCAGCAGGAGTTACAGAGCAGGAGAGTTTTTGCACACTTGCCCTTATTTTGTTGTATAATTTTTAATATGGGATACTTCTTGTTAATAGACTAGGTTTCCCAAATACTATTTGAAAAGCCCTGCTGTTGTGGATCATATGAAGAGGTGAGTCAGCTCAGCACTAATTACGCTGCTTAATAAATTATGCATTAGGACCAGAGTGAATCAAGATTAGCTTTCAAGGTCATTAACATGAATCACTGCAGAGTGACTTGTGTGTGATTAGTATACTTGAAAATGGCAGCATAAATTACAAAGAAGGAAAATTAATATTATGTCTAATATACAAAGACAACACAATTCTGTGTGTTTTACCCAGTATTAAATTACAGTTTATATCTTTTTTGTAAAATGGAGCAATAGAGATTAAATTGAATCAAAGTGGGGACTGTTTTTCTTCATTATTGCAATCTTACTAAAACATGACATTCATTTTAAAGTGGTGAAATTTAATATTGCTGGCTGGTTTTTAAGAAAAAGTCAACAATAGAGTGTCTCTGTATACTGTGGTTTTGTCTAAATCAAGATAAACTCTGGAGAGACGTCGAACATTTTCTCTTTTCTGAAGTTCGTGTCAGAGTGAAGAGTTAGACAGAAGTTTGACAGGGAGGGAGAAACACAGATGATCTTAAACACAGCATCTTCATTTAGAGGTGGACAGCATCTGAACTAACTACATACCTCAGCATCTCTCTTTACCACTGCAGCTGATTTGTGTATACTGCCACCTTGTGGACAAAGACTAGAACTGGACATTGTTCCCCTGTTTGAATGAATGAATGAATAAATGAATGAATCAGTAAAGGAATGAAAGAATGAAATAGCAGCAAGAAGAATTCTGTATACTCCATAGCTTCAACAGTTTTTCTCATTGATATAATATGCTTCTTAAATTGGGTTAAATATATGAAAAAGTATAGGTGAGCTGCAGTCTTCACACAGACACCATGCCATGTCTAGCATGGGTGGATAATGAGACAGTGGGCCCCTGGGCACAGATATGCAAAGTGCCCCACCACGTCTCCTGCATAGGCGCAAGTCATTTAGACTTTGTGGTGGTTTTGCATCTCTTTGTAGTCATTATGGGTTTTTTTTTGGTGTGGTTTTCTGTCTCTTTGTGGTCATTTTGTGTCTCCTTGTGAAAGTTTTGTATGTCTTCTGGCTTATTTTTGTGTCTGTTTTGGTCATTCTGTGTCTCTATGGACTCGTTTGTGTCTTACTGAGGTAATATTGAATCTTTCTGTGGTTGTTTTATGCCTCTATGTGAATGTTTTTCCCATTTTGTAGTTATTTTGTGTCTCATTGCAGTTTCTTTGCATTTCTTTGAGGTCATTTTGGGGCACCAGCGTCGAAGAGGGCACTAAAACAGCCCAATGTGATCATCATTAATCATAATCATACATTTTCACAGGCCCTTTCACACACAACACTGTTTGAACTGTGCTGTTGCTGGTCCAGTGAACACAGCGCAGTGGCAGTGCAAGCTCACTTTTCTATTATAGTTATTAATACTGTGAGTTGCCTCTTCTGAGATTTTTCAAGTTTTTCAAACCTTAACCTCATTAAAGCATGCCTACATTCAGCAATCGGGCAGGAACATTTAAAATGGTCCTGCTGTCATCATTATCAATGCAGAAGTCATATAATGACCTAATTAAGACCTTACAGCCAGGAAATGCAGACGTGTGCGTCTCTGTAGACCCTCCAGCAACTGCTGTTCTATAATTC